TAAATCAGTTTCTGACTCCCTCTTTCTTCTCCCTCACTGTTTTTGCAAAACAAGCTAATGGGGAGTGAACAAGCTGAGTGAAGACTGATAAAATTAGGCCAAAGTCTTCATGAAACGTCTAAGGCAACAGGATGCCAACATTAATAAAAAAGAATAAGGCCTTTAACCATGGGAAGGGATGGGGGAATTTTTCATACTCATAACATAGGCATACAGAAATACAATTTCGTTTCCGTCATTTCTATTCCCAAAATAGAGAATGATGTACAGCTTAATGAACATGGAGCAGCTATGAACATGGAGCAGAAGGAAGCTATCTCCCAGAGTATGTGATCTTCCTTTGACACAATCTGTTTTTGTAGCAATGAGTCATACTGGACTAGCCCAGTTAAAACCAAATTAATTATTCACCCTTAAAGGAATCCAGAATTTCCCTTCTAGCCTATGTAACTCTTCCCCGGAACTTCAAAGGATTTGAGCTCCAAGGAAAAACTCAGATGAAATGAAATAAATCAAAGCTGCAAACACATGCAATTCACCAGCTCCTAGTAGAAACAGTGGACTTCACACAATTCTCACCAGTCTCTAATGTCAGCTATGCACTAGATATATATATATGTGGCTATGAAACTAATAAGGATGGAAGAGGGTCGTTCTGTCCCAGCCTACAAGCGAGGAAAAACCCTTTTGCATTGAACAAGGCAGGACTTGGTAAGATAAACCCGTTTTATTTTGACACAGATTTTATGAACAAAATCCCAACCAGTCCTTTAGCTGTTGAAATGAACAAGATTCAGTCTCTGAGTTCTCAACTGGAATGCTCAAGGTTTAAGTCACTCAGACACACAGAAATCCGAGAATCCTGGGGCAAGAAATCCAATGACAGAAGCACAAAATTGTAACATGAACAGTTGCTTTCAGCAACCAGCCCCTCCCACGCCTCTCCTCTTTATAGTCCAGCCAGGACATGACTTCTTAGAGTCTTAGACTTCTTTACTTTTCCTGGAGAGCCGCTGTCCTGCATGCCTTTCCAGATGCACCATGCATCTGGAACAGGCCCCAGCTGTTCCTCCTCTTCGCTCAGTTCAGGCCCCCAACCCAGCTGTCTCTCTGCCTGAGTGTGAGTAGATGGGCCCCATGTCACCTCTAGCTCTGAGTCTTCGTGCTCCTCAGAGCCTTCCACAGACTCCGATGTGAACCCAGGCAACCCTTCCCCCTCATCCGATTCATCTGACTCGGCTGCCGGATCTGCTGGAGGCGAGGACTCACAACAAGGGTAAGGAAAGAAGGAAGATGCGTTTGAAAGGTTTGAGAGGGAAGTAATTAGCCAAAAGGATGCAATTAAACTGGAGGTACAATTAGGCAAGTGAAAGGGTCTATTTTAAGAGGGTTTTATGAGTTTCCTGACTTCAAATAACAGGAATGTACTACCAAATTTTGGTAATCGTTGCAGGATCCAATCTGGTTCGGTCACCAGGACCAGGGGTTTAGTCTTACGAGCTTTCGGACCCATTCTGGAGCCCATCCTCATGGACCTACTCACTCACCCCACATTTGGGTGGGAGAGAAGTTCCCTAAGGAGAGGTTCCAGCACAACTCCAAAAGCTCATAAGACTAAACCTCTGGTCCTGGTGACCAAACCAGATTGGATTCTGCAACATTATCCTGGGACATGTATATTTGCCTTCTTTGGACCTGGATATCTCCGAGACCGCCTTCTGCCGCAGATTATCTCCCATCGGCCGGTACGCTCCCACAGAGTGGGTCTCCTCATGGTGCCGTCAGCCAGACAGTGCCGGCTGGCGACTCCCAGGGGGAGGGCCTTCTCGGTGGGAGCTCCCACCCTCTGGAACGAACTACCCCCAGAGATCCGGGTGATCCCGGATCTCCCTTCCTTCCGCCGCACCCTTAAGACATGGCTATTTCAACAAGCAGGACTGGCCTAAGGGGAAATTTTTAGCGGGGTTTTAAAAACAATTTTAAATTAAACAAGGCCAAATCTAATATTTCATTTTAATTCTGTTTTTTAATGATAGTTTCGGGGTATTTGTGTATCTGTTTTTATCAGGCTGTCAGCCGCCCTGAGTCCGCAAGGAGAAGGGCGGGGTAAAAATTCAAACAAACAAATAAATAAATAAATAAATAAATTTGGTAGCTGTGCCTAGGATCGGAGTTTGCAAAGAGGAATCCAAGCTCACACATGGCCGGAGATTCTTCAGCCCTCATTTAACAGAAGGGTTTCCCAGACAAGTGACTTACCTTGGATACAAAGGCCTTCCGTGCAGTTCTCTGATTCTTGGTTTGGGCCTTCACAGAATTTCCCACCATTCCGTGGAGGTGGAGAAGTGCATTCCCGGATCCTCAAGTGCTCACACTCAGGGCTGCAGACTGACCATTCACTCCACACCTCCCAGGCACCGTCCACTAATGAGGAGAAAATGAATAAATGGTAGATTTCAGTACACGGCATTTAATCGTCTATGGAGATTCTCAGTCATCCAGGTCATGGTTGTTCCAAAGGTGCTTTTTTCAAAAGGCAACTGGACTGTCTTTGTTTTTCCTTGAAGACGTTTTGCTTCTCATCCAAGAAGCTTCTTCCGTTCTGACTGAAGTCCTTCCATTCTCCGCCATTCAGTCAGAACTGAAGAAGATTTTTGGATGAGAAGCAAAACGTCTTCAAGGAAAATTTTTGAAAGAGCACCTTTGGGAGAAGACATTTGATCCAGTGATAGTTTGAATCATTTAAAAAAAAAGAAATGAAATAGTGACATTATTTGGTCGCTATGCCTCTTAAAAAACAATGCACATATTTTATTATGTAACTGAATTTCTTTCCCTGCTCCTCCTAATCAGCAACATTCATATCTCTAACTTCAGCTTCTAATTGTCTATGTTCCCATGTTCCTCTCAGCCTTAAAACAGATATTGATTCCCAATGTTGCATTATAACTAAAGCCAAATATCTGCGGTCAAATGGAAAACTTCATTCTTTCCCTATTAACCTTCACTTCCTCCTTCTATGATCCTCCCCATGTCTCTTATGTGCAGCATTTAAAAAAAATATATAAGCTCCATGGAGCAGGAACTCACACTGTTAATAGTGTGCAAAGAAGACTTAGACATCAGACTTCATGTAATGGCATTAGGTACAGGAAAACTGGGAATCATTTGATTTTGATGGTGATGAGGAGGAGGTGGTGGTGATGATGATTGTGGTGATTTGCAAAAGAAGATGAGAGAAGGGGAAGATCCTAAGTGTTGTTGCTCCACATCCATGTTCAAATTGGGGATGAACCACTTTTTTTATAGGCCAGTGCTGAAATAGTAATGCAATGCAGCTTTTCATTCTTTGTGGAATTGGAGCTGGAAGAGAATTTCAGTTTGATATGTCAAATCTTGAAACTTAATATAATAGTTTTCTGTTCCCTCCAAAAATCGAGGCTTGCAGCAAGCAGATTTAATGTCCACACTTGGCCTGAAGTCTGCTCATTCCTAATTTAAATCACTGTTGGGCACCCCAAGAGACAAGAATGAGCTAGAAACCGCATCTCTATTTTATTACAAGAAGGGATAACTATAAAAGATAATTCACAGTTATTGAATGAATGCAAGTGGAAGATCAGGATTTTTAACCAGCCTGATCTCAAATTTTTCATGTTCTCTTGCAGTGATGCTGTCTTAGAAGAGGAGAGCTGGATTTGAACCTCCGTGTTCCCACATTTTATGGATATCTGGGTTTTCATTTTCGGCATTCCTGCTCACCCATTTAGATAAGTCCTTCGTGTTCAACTGCTTTCTTCTAAATATCAAATAAGCCCTAACCATTTTGCATGATAATCTGAGCTGAGCTGTAAATTCACACCTTTATGAACTCTGCAAAATAACTGGACCGTGATTCCACTCAACTCTAGATGCTGAGTATGCTCTCTGAACTCGAGAAGAAAAAAGGTAAAGGTTGACCCTGTCCAGTCGTGTCCAACACTTGGGTGTGGTGCTCATCTCTGTTTCCTAATTGAGGGGAGCCAGTTTTGTCCGAAGACGCTTCCATAGTCATGTAGCCGATATGACTATATGCCGAGGTGCACAAAACACTGTTATCTTCCCACTAAAGTGATACCTATTTCTCTACTTGCATTTGCAGGTTTTCAACTGCTAGGTTGACAGGAGCTCACCCTGTCATGTGGTACTTGGGTCTCGAACTGCCAATCTTCTGATTGACAAGCCCAGTGTTGTTCTAAGTAGATAATGGGAACTCAGAACCTGTAAAATGTTGGAATCTATGGAAGAGAATATGTATAGCTCAGGATTAAACTATGGAGTCAGTTCTAGTACTGATGATGTTACCTAGTCTGATAATGAAACATCTGCAAGAAAATGACCAAGCTCAGAGAGCATAAAGGTTCCACCTGTTAGAATTTATCCTTAGTTTACAGAAGAAAAGCAGACATATTATTCATGGAACACATGAACCAAACCTGTATTTAAAATTTAACCTTGAAATAAATTCCTTTTCTTTTTTAACTTGTCCAGACAAAGCTAGAACTTTTTCCTTGGACATACAGTTTGCAGGGATGTATGTCCCCCTCTGTTTGTGCAACTATAGTTTCACTGAAAGCTAGATTTTGCCAAAAAGAGTGAATATCCAATCTTTCTTAAAATAAATAGCTCGAAATGAAAATGTCTGAATGTGAACCTAAAGCTCAAAATTGCCCTAGAAGGTTACAAGTGCCAATTTTTTATCATTTTACCAAAAGGAAAATGAAATAGCTTCTTTTCAGTTGTCACTCTCAGTTCCCGCTATTTCTGACTTTCGCAGATTCATTTGGGTTGCTTCATTTTGGTAAGAGAGGGAGAGAAAGATTGCCTGAAGCAAAATGAAAATAAAAAATAAATAAATAAAAAAAGATCTCAGGGATAAAACGCTGATTCACGTACCGCCTTAGCTGGAAACTGCAAAAACTTGGCTCAAAAGTCAGCAACTTTTACATAGTTCCACACTTATGGGATACACACAAAGTACCATTTTCAACAAAAAAATATATATATACAGACAGCGCTAACCTAGAAATTGCAGTTGAATGGTCATTCTGCCAAATTTAATTTCATGCTAATCATAGCTAGCACAAATTGCCATCCTTGCATTTGGTATAGCATTGAGAGGTGAATAGAATAGTAATAATAGCAACATACAGGTAGTCCTCGACTCACTGCCATAGTTGAGCCCAAAATTTCTGTTGCTAAGTGAGACGGTTGTTAAGCAATTTTGCCCCATTTTTCAAGCTTTCTTGCCACAGTTGTTAAGTGAATCACTGCAAGTTGTTAAGTTAGTAACATGGATGTTAAGTGAATCTGGCTTCCTTCCCCATTGACTTTGCTTGCCAGAAGGTCGCAAAAGGGGATCACATGACCCTGGGACACTGCCATCATCATAAATATGAACCAGTTGCCAAGCATCCAAATTTTGATCACATGGATATAGGTGGTAAGTGTGACAAACGGTCATAAGTCTCTTTTTTCAGGGCTGTTGTAACTTTGCATGGTGAGTAAATGATCTGTTGTAGGTTAAGGACTACCTCTATCAGCCAACTGATTTGTATTTCTGTTAGAGAGAAAATATCGGAAGGAAGAATGTCTGTGTTTGCACATATATTTTTTCTTTTCATTGTTATAGAAATCATATCACAACTTTGTTTTCTATTACATAATTTTCAATAGTCCCTCAGACTTGAGGTTTGGGTGAAGGAGTTAAGAACATCTTCCCCAACTGAGATCTGAACATTTGGAAGAAACAGCGTGCCAATATTTTTCTTTTCTTCCTCCTCATTTTAATAGGAAATATACTTCTTTCCATTTCTGTTTTTCACGCAAAAGGAAGCTATTGGTGAAGTTCTCATAACCGGCTCATCGGATTTTAACACAACCCTTAATTACGAGATGGGACATGAGAAGTGTCCTGTCCTTTTATCATGTCTTTCAGAGGTCTACTCCAGAGGTACACATATACCAGTGGTGGCGAACCTATGGCACGCGTGCCAGAGGCGGCACTTGGAGCCGTCTCTGTGGGCACACGTGCCATTGCCCCAGCCTCGCCTCCCCCCACGACCCCCTCCTCACCGGCAGCCCCCCTGGAGGAGAGTTGCCCTCGAGCGTGGCCCACACGGAACAGCGCAGCCAAGGATATGGCAGCCAGGCAGCGTAGACAAGACTCTGCCCTCACGCCCCATCCCGCACAGTTGATGCTGCGGGGCACGGGCAGAGGGTATGGACTCCATGGTGCTGCTGGGCTGCCTGGGTGATCTGCGGCGGGCCCTGAAGGCATGAGTGGCCCTGCAGGCAGGCAGGGTGGGGAATGGGGTGGGGGTGAAGCAGGGGCGGGGCAAAGGGTGGAGTGGGGGCGGGGCCAGTTTTGGGGCACTCGGTCTCTAAAAGGTTCGCCATCACTGACATATACCCTAGATTTTGAAAATGAAATATATTAACCTTTCAATTAAATTCCAAGGAAGACATCCTTAAGGTTTTGGCCGATCTGACAGTATGGGCACCTAGGTTTAGGATGGAGACGGGGAAAAGTACATTACTTGATTTTTTTTGCCATCTTGACCCGTTCAAGTAAACAAGAGCACATCTGAAGAGCTTATGGGGGGGGAAAGGAATAATAAGGTAGGAATCTAGAAGAAAGGACAGGTTCGGCAGGCTGGGAAACAGATTTTAGCACTGTCTCTTTTGGTGGCAATGGAGGGAGTGGAAATAAAACCCAGAAGTTGGTGATTATGCTTATTTATGAGATCCAACAATGGCTTGAGGCTTTTTGCCTGAACAGCTGCTTGAAGTGAAAGTAATGTTGCTATGGAAATTCAGATTCCAACAAAATCTGGAGTTTTTGACATGTGCCAGAAATATCAGAGCTAGCCTTGCAGCCCTCTTGTTTACGTCTAAGAGAAATTCGGAATCAATATATTTGTGAATTGCCTGGCAAAGAGCACACTTTCCAGCTTGTAGCTTATGCAAGCCTTGTCCAGCTCTGCTTGAAGTACCTGTGTTCAAACCATGCCTAGTTAAGGGAGGAAGTTCAGAAAACAGGAGGAGAAAATGCTTGCAGTATGTAGTACAGTTCCAGTAAATTCCAATTTAGACTGGTAGACGTAGTGTTTAAACCCGCATAGTGTTCAAAGTGCTTTAGGTAATGAAGCCTATAGGGAATATGCAGAAGACAAAAGGGAAAATACATACATGCATACACACGAACAACACAACTACTCAGAGTGCATAAGAATCAGTTGTGAACTAATATCTTAATAACCATTTGGCCCAGAATTCAATTTTGCCATTCTGGAGAAACTGAGATGCTGAAAAACAAAAAAGGTTGGAGTTGCGTCCATGTGTCCCAATGTCCACCACATCCTGCAATAAAGACAATTGAGGAATCACTTTTTTCCCTCAGAGTTTCTACCCATCCAAATAAGATCAAATAGGATCTTGCCACAGATCCTTCAGCCAAAGAATGTCAGTTCATGAGGACTAGAAGACAGGCTTTTTCTGAAGCAGCCCCTGCTCTGTGGGACATCCTTCAGAGATTAGAATGGCCCCACCCTATTAGTTTTCCATAAAGCTTTAAAGACCCGGCTATGCTCCGGAACCTAGAGCACTACATGCAGCAAGGGTTTCGCCTCCTGGCTATACAGTTAACAGATCAGATGTCTTGCTTTGTATATATTCAAACTAGATGTTTGAAAGTTTGTTTTATTGTTTTAATGGTTTCTTTTTCTGTTTTTATTGTTTTAAAAATGTTTTTAAGATTTTAATTGTAATATATTTATATATTTATAAAATGTATTGGACACCTATCTTAGGGTAACTCTGGGTGGCTTACAGTCGTATATACATATGCTTTTGTATATATGTATGTGTATGTGTGTGTATGTGTGTGTGTATGTGTGTTGTATATCCTCCCTGGCCTCTACTGACAGGAGTGAGAAAGAGCCTGTGGCCTAAAAGTTAATACAGCTGCCTAACATGCAAGCTGCCCAGGTTCAAATCCCAGAGGGGTAAGACTAGCTGATGAGAGCTAAAGAGCTTGAAATAGCTATACTAGTCTCCCTTTAACTCTTTGTCAGCCACACAATTTTGAATTTACAGTGTTCACAGTAGTGATGTCTGCCTGCAAAAGATGCTCCTAGACTGGAGTGAAATGCAGAACAGATTGCTTTATATTTGGTAGACCGGGTGTTCCACCAAACACACACACACACACACACAAAATTAAAACATAAATAATTAAAATCAACATTAAAACCTAAAGACACATGGGGAGGGCAGGGGCAGAGTGGGGGGAGGTACAGCGGTGGGATTCAGCCGGTTTGCACCACTTCGGCAGAACTGGTAGCTAATTTTTTGATGCCCAGGCCCAGAATGGACTTCCGGAAGTGGCATCCACACAGAGAACCGGTTGTTCACATATTTGAATCCTACCACTGGGGAGGTGGGTTCAGTTGTTGCTCAATCAACCACCTCCACTGTGCTATTCCCCCAACTGGGGCTCCAAGCCAGCTGGCAAAGCCACGTCTTTAGGCCCTTGAGAAAGGATAGGAGGGTTGGGGCCAACCTCACATATGTTTTTTGAATTGTGAGTCACTCAGAGTTGTTTGCAGAAATGGGCAGCTATAGAAATCAATCAATCAATCAATCAGTCAGTCAAATAAAGAAATAAATAATATCTTGCTCACTGGGACACAATGATGTGCAGGTAATTTTCTGTACAGACATTCCTTCGCAGAAAGCACCACCGTTGAGGGGAGCAGGGTTAGTACACGTCCGGGATCTCTTTTGCCATCCTCTGCCACACTGGGCATTGCAGTTGGACCAAGTTGTCCAAGAAGACCAGCCTCCGTTCACTAGGCAAACATAGGGGAAAGGGAAGCGAAGAGGTGGATTAGCGTGTCAGCATTTTACAAGAGGCAGCCCTTGTTACGCAACTTTCCATTTTCAATATGTCCTCCTTAAAAACAAATAAAGATGTGATAGTTATCACAATTTCCTCTTTACATGCTGGAATGCAAGTATTACTGCGATGCACTTACCTAGAGGACATAGTATCAATAAATGCATATGTTTCGGTAAGGAACTAGTGATGACGTAGGCTCACTTTGATTCTCTCTAAGCACAACTTTAAAAATTGGTTTTTTTAAATCCCACCTTTATTATTTTTATAAATAACTCAAGATAGTCTTTCCTCTTCCAATTTCCCCCATATGAACAATCCTATGAGGTGAACTGGGCTGAGACAGAGTGACTAGGCCAAAGTCTCCCAGTTGGCTTTCAGGCCTAAGATAGGATTAGAATTAATTGTCTCCTTGTTTTTAGGCTGGTACCTTAACCACTGGACCAAACTGGTTAAGGAAAGGGAAGGGAAGGGAAGGGAAGGGAAGGGAAGGGAAGGAAGGGAAAGGAAAGGAAAGGAAAGGAAAGGAAAGGAAAGGAAAGGAAAGGAAAGGAAAGGAAAGGAAAGGAAAGGAAAGGAAAGGAAAGATGAGTGGCCAATAAATGTTATAAATAAATAAACAAACAAATGAAATGAAATGAAATAAGGCAGGGGTAGGCAACCTTGGCTCTTTTATGACTCGTGGACTTCAACTCCCAGAATTCCTGAGCCAGCACCGCTGGCTCAGGAATTCTGGGAGTTGAAGTCCACGAGTCATAAAAGAGCCAAGGTTGCCTACCCCTGAAATAAGGGAAGGGAAGGAAAGGAAAGGAAAGGAAAGGAAAAGAAAGGAAAGGGAAGGGAAGAAGGAAAGGAAAGGAAAGGAAAGGAAAGGAAAGGAAAGGAAAGAAGGAAAGGAAAAGAAAGGAAAGGAAAGGAAAGGAAGGAAAGGGAAGAAGGAAAGGAAAGGAAAGGAAAGAAGGAAAGGAAAGGAAAGGAAAGGAAAGGAAAGGAAAGGACAGGAAAGGAAAGGAAAGGAAAGGAAAGATGGGTGACCAATAAATGTTATAAATAAATAAACAAACAAATGAAATGAAATGAAATAGGGAAGGGAAGGGAAGGGGAAGGGAAAGGGAAAGGAAGGGAAGGGAAGTGTTGAGACATCCTTCTGTCTTAATCAATGAAATGTCATTTGGTACTTTAATAAGAAGAAAAGATGAAACGAAGAAAGAAAAAAGCAGAAAACTTCCCTGCTGCGTTTCAGATTCAAATGTCTGTAAGGTCATCTGTTATTCTATGTCTTAAGTTTGATTAAGAGGCTCCATTGTTGTACAGACAGGTATCATTAGTATACATTAGACTTTGGATCTCAAGATATTGCTTAGCTGCACTACCCAACATCCTTACCTTGGTTACATCTAGTGGAAGTTGAGCTTCAGCAAGTTATAGATGACTGTATAGACTCTTCCCTCCCACCTAAGAAAAAAGTGGGGAATATATAGCCCCAGTTCCACATTAATTATCCCCCTCCAAAGAGACACACTTCTGTTCACTAATGAGCAATTGGTTTTGTACCTTTTATACCCACCCATTCTCAGCAAAGTGTACCTAGAATTTATGTAGTCACAACTTTTATGCTCTCAACTCTCTTTTGAAATCAAGGATCTTAATCTATGACTGAACAGAGAAGCGTTAATGGGTTATTGATTAAAAACAATAATAAAATTATACTTTGCTCGAATGCACACATAGTTCATGAACAGTTAGAAGTCAGGAAAGGGAACAATGACATGATCTGTCTTCCTGTCACTATTAGAAGACTAGAAGGTTTATTTCGGTGCTCTTTTAAAATTTGTTTTCCCGCTTCTGTCCAATTGTACCCAACTCTTGGAGACTGCCAGGACAAGTTGTTGCAATTTTCTTGGCCAGGTTTTCAAAAGTTCTACTTTTTAGGGATGAAAGACAATGACTGTCTCAGTGTCATCCAGCTGGCTTCATACCTAAGGTGGGATTAGAACTCATAACTGATGCCTTAACCCAGTGTTTCTCAACCTTGACAACTTTAACATGCGTGGACTTCAATTCCAGGAAGTTCTCAGCCAGCAGTGTTGCTTAAAAGAAATGGATGAATGAATTCATTGACAGTACTGATCAAACAAGAATGATACTCATAGTCCAAGAAGTTACAGCAAGTCACACCTACTGACCATACACCACAACTGTGGCTGAGAGGCTTCTTCTTTTGGCAACAATGTTGGCTGCCATGCAGGTGTAGTTCCCTGAATCAGACAGGCGGGCTTGACGGATAATTAGGTTATGATCTGCTCGGGTGTCAATATTTTCATCCTGTTCAGCATTGACCGTTTCTTCATTCTTAAGCCATTCCACCTTAAAAGAAAGCAAGTGGAGAAAAAACAACAACAATTCATAAACTATGAATATTGATATATTACTCTGGTCACTATTTGAAATTATTTACATGAAAATAGAGAGTATGTCTGGTGCTGTCCCTGGAATCTCTTAGCACTATCCATTTGGACTAAGAATTATGGGAATTGAAAATACTGGAATGGTCATCCTCCAATTAATAGCTGCTTGATAAAGTAGCAAGACAATGAATAATGAATTCAGGGGGATGGGAAAGCAGGAAATGAAAATAATATGGAATCTTCTTCATTTGGTGCATTCAGAAAGGGCACAGGGACAGTGAAGCAAGCTGAATTTGCTATGCATTTCCTTGGATATCTACATAGAAGTATATGTATCATAGACACTAATAAAATAGGATGTTGTTGAAAGGAGGGCAGGAGAGATACAGAATTGGTAAAACAAGAATGCAGAGCTTCAGTCTGTTCTGTGTCTTCAGAACTGGAGAAATGTGGCAAATAAGAGGATCTCCAGAGGAAGAGGTACAAACCTGGAGGACTAATGGAAAAAAGGAAGGAGTAGGACAGACCAGGTAAAGTCACAATACACAACCCCATTCTCATCACGCCAAGATTCTTTAGAAATAGAAGAGATACATACAGTACATAATAATGTGAAGCCTCTCCAGAGATAAAGCTAAAAGCAATCATTTTACTGAGGGAAACGGCTGAAGAAATATCATAAGGAAATGTCATGAAATCAAAACACAGAACCTTCGGAATTGGGAAGAGTGATGCACAAATATTCCTTTGCCTTTCAACCCTATGAGTCTATGATTCTTTCCTTCTCTTTTCAAAGGAAAGAAGCAGCATGCCAGACTGCTTCCATCCCTCCTCTCTTGGGAATGCCTTGTAATGGAAAATCCCTGCTAGCATTTCCTCCATGGCATGAAGCAATCCTGAGGTTCCAAAGATTTTTCTTAAGGAGTCACAAGCTCTGAATCCAGCAAACTCAGAGCCAAAGATTGTTCCACTCCAGAGATCTGTCATGAATCTGCTAATGTGAAACCACGCCAAAATACTTGATCCTGCAGAGCAGGTAAATTAATTGCAGGAGCTATAGCTTCCATCATTAAAGGAGAATATTGGTAGTTCATGGTTGAAAGGAGGGGTCCTTGGTGCTCTCCGAGCTTGGGTGTTTTCTTGCAGACGTTTCATTACCCAAATGAGGTAACATCATCAATGACAGTCACTAATAGCCCTGATGATGTTCATTTGGGTAATGAAACGTCTGCAAGAAAACATCCAAGCTCAGAGAGCACCAAGGACCCCTCATGCCTTCCATCGAAAGAGTGTAGCATCTACACTTTTTGCAATGGGTATTTCAAATCTATAAGAATTAGCCTGTGACAGTTAAGTCACAATTTATTTCCAGGTCTCAAGCTCACTAGATCACCCCAGGTGAGCGCCCAGAGACATGGAAGCAATCAGTGTATGGATCTGCAGGCTACAGGCATTCATTAGCAGGCTGTGCTGGGCAGATGGCTGGCAATTTGTAGATTTTCTAGTTTATAAACAAATCGGCAGCCGACCACTATCACAGCCAATTAGAATCCATGCCAGGCAGCAGACTTGGTTCTTTTTTTTTTCCCCAGCACCGTTTATCACGTTGGTTAGCTAGGGACAGAAAAAGCAAAATCAGGTTTCTGCTGAATATACGATGAGACCAGGGAGAAAAAGTGGAAAGGAAACCCAGAAACACAGGATTTGCAACCACGAGACTGTTTACTGAGTACAAATGCATTTAGAGTAACAAGTTATCTTGGTATGTCATTCAAACAAATGAATACATTCCAAAATCTTTGCTTAAAATAAAGGTGGTCCATAATATGAATGGCATCTGAAGTTTCTAAGGATCGATATTTCTTGCCAAAGCAAAGCTTTGGCAAATTATAACTACGTTTTAATCTACGATAGGCTTAATACAGCCTTAATTTTTAATAACCCCAATGCCTAAATGGGAGAAGATAATCCATTTATTCCAGTACCATCATTTATTTTATTAATATTAGACTGCTTGGAAAAATGGGGGGGGGGAGAAACAGCTTTTGGCTGCAAAAATATCGCCTATTGCATTTATTGTGCAAGCAATATTTTATTTTCTTACTTCCCATATACATTATTTTTTAAATTCTTTCACATCCCACTTTCTCCTTTTTATTTCCACTATCTCTGGAAGGAATCTAAGGATAGTTTAAGATAAGCAGACATTGTGAATTTCTTTACTGACAGCAAAAAGACCTATCAGATCTTTTTATTTTTATTTTACCTGCATAGGTTCTAGAGTGTAAGTTAAAAATTACTGAGCATAGAAAGTTAAAACTCATATACCCATGAGAATATTCCTGGATGTTTTAGAGCTTTTTCAGGCAGACTTGCATCTGGAGTGTAGTATCTTAGTTTGGAGGTTATGACAAACTACAATTTGGAATATTTCTCCAGGAAAAATTTTCAGGAAAAATCTTCTGTCCCTAGTACATCAAGGAGATGGCGAACCTATGGTGGCGAACCTATGGCATGGGTGCCAGAGGTGGCACTCAGAGCCCTCTCTGTGGGCACGCGCGCCGTCGCCCCAGTCCTAGGCTTTCAGCTGGGTTTTATAAAACCTTTTCGCTTTAGGCCTCTGCCGCCGTGTGCAAAAAAAAAAAGGTTCAATCAATCAGTCAATTTCAACTTCTCGCTGGGAAAAAAAAGATCTTGCAAAGTTGGAATTGATTGATTGAACTTTTTAGTCCCACCCAGTCTGCCGTTACCATCGCAGCCACGCCCACCCAATGGGCCACGCCCAGCCAATGGGCCACATCCACCCAATGATGCATAAGTGGGTTTTGGGTTGCAGTTTGGGCACTCGGTCTCTAAAAGGTTCGCCATCACTGTACTAGGATGTCTGTGTGTGTGAGAGAGAGAGAGAAAGAGAGAGGGAGGGGATTGGTAGGGAGGGATATTATATTTAGTGTTGCTAAATATAATAAAAGTTGCCCTTCTTTATGAGAGCATCCCACTTTCAGCTTGGATCTAAAATTTAATATAAAGACCTAGAAGCTTGACCATTCTAATTTATAGCTTGTGAATCCCCTAGGGTGCCTTTTAACAAATTTGCAAAATAGCTGTCTCCATGTTAACTTCATTATTCAGAGGAACTACCAAACTATGTGATCTCCTGGGTCACACATGGTCAGTTTCTGAAAAGCAAAGCAAAAATAACAGTGGGGACTTTTTCTAAAAGATCTTGGCTTGTCAAAGTTAATATCTCTTCACTAGAAGCTGGAACGACTTGTAGGGATGATGTTCCAGGAAGAAATGGTAATTTTCTAGGAATGGAATTCAGAGGACACCCTGAGACACTCTTATTTTCACCTACTAAAGTTTATGGGTCAATGTACAAAGCCTTTAAAATTATGCTCATTTATCTTCATAATAATCTGGATAATAAAGATTGTGATGAAAAATGAGCAATTTGTTCAAGTTCATCCAATGATTTCAGAAAGCTCATCAATCAAGGCTTCTGGCTTTGGATCTTCTGGTAGAAATCACAATGAGATGCCCTTCTAACCTTAGGACTGCCAAATCTTTCCCAGAACATACCGCTTTATAAGTGAGACCACACCTGGAATACTGGAGCCAATTTTGGTCACCATATCACAAAAAAGACGTTGAGAGTTTGGAAAAATATTCAGAGAAGAGCAACTAAGATGATCAAAGGCCTGGAGACTAAAACATACGAGGAATGGCTGCAGGACTTGGATTTGGCTAGTCTAAAAAAAGAAAGAAATAAGGGAGACATGATAGCAATATTCCAGTATCTGAGGGGCTTGCACAAGGCAGAGGGGGCCAGGGTGTTCACCAAACCACCAGAGGGAAGGACAAGAAACAATGGTTGGAAACTGATCAAAGAGAGAAGCAACCTGGAATTAAGGAAAAAGTTCCTGACAGTGAGGACAATCAACCAGTGGAACAGCTTGCCCCCAGAAATCATGGGCGCTCCATCACTGGAGGTTTTTAAGAAGAGACTAGACATTCACCTGTCTGAGATGGTATAGGTTCTTCTGCTTGAGCAGGGGGCTGGACTAGAAGACCTGTAAGGCCCCTTCCAGCTCCTATTCTATTCATCTGAAATACTTTGCTGGCCCACATTGATGATCCAAAATCCATCCCACAATTTGAGATTTGAAGGAAGTTGGAAAAACAATGTAATGAACCTGGTGACAAAGTGATCTGATTTCCACATTCAGCATTCCAACAAAGGACAACAATAACAAAACTAATCACACCATCACATATATCAGTCCAGTCATCTTTGTGAACATGCACCCAGCCCTGATTTACTAATTTCTTTGTCCTCCTTGGAGTGTTTCAAGAATTTCATTTTTTTTTCAGAGCTGCCTATGAACTGAGCTGACACACTGATGTCGTTTTCTTGGCAACAGTATGGAAATGATTGACCAGTTCCTTCTTCCAGGACGATGATAGTGTTGGCTTACTTTAGAATGCATCTTACAGGCCTGGGAATTTATTTATTAATTAAACTGGTGGGCCACCCATTTCATCTAGAAGTGACTCTGGACAGCTTACAAACATTAAAACCAGCAAACATTAAAAATGATAAAACAAATAAATAACAATAATTTGTCATTTAAAGATGGAGGGTGAAGGAAGGAAGGAAGGAAGGAAGGAAGGAAGGAAGGAAGGAAGGAAGAAGAGAAGGAAGGAGAGAAGAGGCAGGGAAGAGAAGAAAGGAAGAAAGGGAGGGAGGGAGAGAGGAAGGAAGTTACATATACTGAAATTATTGCTTTATTTTTTTAATCACAGAAAACTTTTGTGGATTGCTCATAATGTGATGATTATTCACACACACACACACACACACACACACACACTGCATCCCGTAGTTCTTCCCCAATTCTTCCCAAGACCAGTCTTTGGTAACCTTTTCATGTTAGGTTCATGAACTGTATTTCATAATGACAGACAATGATGTACTCTAAATTTATTGTTTTCTCTTTTTCGGAAACCAGCATGGCCAGAATTGAAATGTTCCCATCAAGTCCTGCTAAATTGCAAAATGAGCCATAAAACCATTCAGGGGTAGATATGGATTAATTCCACTTCCACGTAAAGCATCGCAGCTGATAAATTACCCTAAGCACACATTTGCACCAATTATATGTTGTCAAGAGAGAGAGAGAGTAGTTTACAGCATTATCCAAATGAAATCAGTTAAGCATCTCACAACCCAGATAGAGGTAAAAATTAACATTTCCCATTGTTAATAGGAGCAAGATTATTTCCTTATTTATTGATATTTTTTTTTTTTGCAAATAACTTGAATGAAGAAGGCACTTCTCGCAGGTATCATGGAAAGTAGGACTTAAAGAATCATTTGGGTGGGGAACTCAAAATGTGAATTTTAGCCTGCTAAGAAATAACCAGAATTAACCTGCAGATATAAGAATCACAAAAGGAATGGTTTTGCTCTTTTAAGTTCTTCCCCACAGCCCTCTGAATTACCAGCATCTAATTTCAGAGCACAAATTACAAATACTCAAGGGGCCTGCAACACTCCACGTAATTAGCACCAGATAGAAGTCCAAAGCAGAAGAAAAGGTAGGGGAGACTGTAGAAGAAAATTACAGTCATGAGCATTTGTAATTATTATTATTATTTTCTTCCTAGCATTTTTTCATAAGTGCAGAGTCCACACGTTAGCATCTACTGAATGTTGACTCATTGGTTGAAATAGGAATTGACCCACTTGGGTTGTTGCCCAAGCCAGATGTCATGGCCTAAGAGAGTGACTGGCCCTGGGTCACCCAGCCAGTTTCCATGCCTAAATCAGGATTAAAATTCATAACTTCCTGGCTTCTAGCTTGGTGCCTCAACCCCCTGGTCCAAACTGGGTCTCCTGCAGTTTTATTAAGGTTTTCATGTGAACGTGCTCAGATATTGCTACTAAGTCCACGTTCATATTTTAGATGCAAATATTGTCTGAAACAAGTTTTTGTCTACGTCCCCCTTTTAAGGTACACAGTTTAAAATATAAGAAAACACACTGCCAAAAAAAGTATCTTGGATCGTATAATTGATCCAAACCAAATGA